ACAACACATGAACAACGATAAAAACAAGAAGTGGCCGCTGCAGCACCGTAGATATAGGGCATGTACCCTGAAAAAATTTTAACTAAAAATTTGAAAAAGAAAGAACAGAGATCTTATAGACATTTTAACTTGAATTAAGTTTTAAAAAGTGCTAATTTAAAAATCAAATCGACGCGTGTAGATTAACAAAGATTTTATACAATTAGAAAGACTGGTAATTTTAAATTTTAACAAGCAGTGTAACAGCTACGTGAGTGATACACACCTGATGATGGCCATTTAGGGCCGAAACATGTAGTGTGGAGGAGGAAAAGAAGTAAAAACTACAATAAAATTTGTTGCACTTAAGACGGTATTTATCCATATATACTATAATGTAAACTATCTTAACCTCACTTGTCAGATGACGTTTATGTATTCCCATAGCATGGAAAGTGTTAAATATCATCTTGATTGTGATTTACACTTGTACGTCTTTCAAATACATTGCTGTCTGGTCTCCATGAAAATTCAGAGGTACTGTCTCTCATTACCAGAATAATGTACAGTATATCACATTCCATTTCCAAAATTACTCAGATGTTTTTATAAAATTTTATGCCTGGGAGATTCACATTAAATGTTAAAATTAATTTCCATCCTTGTCTATCTGAACTGTCCTTGTCATGATATGTGATATGTGAAGGAGGATTAAAATCATCATCTCCATTTTGCCATAGTGTCACAAGCTTCCCAATGGCATGTTTGGATATCAGTACATGAACTAATTTAAATATAAAAATATCAGTCTAACACGAGACAAGGAACCAAGGAAAGGAGCTAGGGCTCTGAGTAACTAAGGTCATGAAAGACAGATTTGCAGATGATAGGGCAGCACTACTCTACCAAGAGAGAACATGTTAAGTAATATAAACCAAATAATATTCAGAATTACAGTATGTGAAAATAAAGATAAGGCACAAATATTTTGGAAAAATCAGAAATGAAAACAACATCAAGGAACATGCATATAAAGCCAGAACAGGCTGATACACAATTACTTCCAGCTTCCATGAGGAAAGTTGTAGACCAACAGCAAGCAATAACTGCTCATGACATACAACATATACTCCTGTGGGCCTCCATGGCCTCTTACAGGGATACCTTTACTTTCTTCTTACTAATTAACTTTTCTGCTTCTTCCGCCCCCCCCCCCAACCTCAATTTTCAATGGGATGTTTGTATCTCCACAAAGTGTAAACTCAGGTTTTGGATTGTACAGATAGTTCAGACCTGCATCAGACTTGTATTTTCATTAATTATACATCAAACCCGGTGAGGAACTCAATTGTACAGAAAACACACATGAAAATCTTAACTGGAGAATATCTTTATATTCCTGTTGATTACTGGTACAGAATTGTTTGGCCATATCTATGTTCATACTCATGAGAGAAATTTGCTTTGTAGGTTTTGACTACCCAGATATTTCACATGTTTTCTTTCCTGTGTAGATTGGTGACAGTGTTGTGAGTAAGGCAAGGGAGACACTGGAAAGAGCCATACATCTTGTAGAAGCAACTCCTCGCTGGGGGGCACATGTGGTATATGGGGATACTGACTCCCTGTTTGTGTTGGTCCCTGGTAAGAGTCGAGAGCAGGCTTTCAAGATAGGAGCAGAGATTGCAGAAGCTGTTACTCTAGACAACCCAAAACCAGTGAAATTGAAATTAGAGAAGGTTTATCAGCCATGTATTTTACAGGTGAGGGTTTTAGAACATATTGAGTTGTTTCAAAATTAGGAGTTCATACGTATGCCAACTCATTTTGAAATATGAACTTTCATTGAGATTTATGACTGTGACTCAAGAAACAGTACTTTAACATTATTAGATTAACTATGTATATATATTTATTTATTTGGGTAAGTATGTTGTTCATCCCCCATATGAAAGGCAGCAGTGAGGTGATATTGACTCAGCGTGCCAGAGTCATGATGGTGCTGCTGGAATGCCTTCTGGATGCAGTGAGTAGCCTAGCAAGGCCCAGTTCCAAGGCCACACACCAAGCGGGAGTATGCAGGGTGAGAATAACAGTTCAACCTCCAAGGGCAGTACTTGTTAGGATGGCTGCAGAGTGCCAGCTGTGGAACCTCACTGACAAGGGAATACCCCTGAAATGGCCATGGCAGATTGCAGTGCAGGACTGATTGTACATGGAATGAAGGCTGGAAGTAATAAATTCGAAGGCTCCTCAGAGTGATGAGCCTTAAGGAGGGAACAATTTGACATGACACCGAAATGTCAGAGAAATGTCACAGAAGCATCCATTGCTACACAGTTGCTTGTTAAAACATGTTTCTGCAGCAACATATACTTACAAGAGTGAGTGGCAGCATTTTATAATTGATCCACAACTTGCCAGTACAAAATAGTGTAGTGGGTTTTGTGTGTGTCATGCTACAAATAAGTTTACGCCGTGGTATTTGATATAGCGAATTTATTCCACTCTCTCACCTTACACACACCTTACAATCGTTAACTCTTGCAGTGTTACAATTACTGCTTACACAATGTCTCGGCCGGTACTGGACTGTCTTCTCTGGCGGTTTATAGCAGACTAACTGTGTGAATGCATTCAACCCCGTTTTATAACCTCGGTCGCTGCTATGCAAATGAACCCTCTGTTATAACCATGGAGACTCCTGTTACAACTACAATAGAGTGATTGTTTATTTCCTATGCAACGGTCTATTCTAGCGTTTCCATAGAAGTGATTCTTCTGGATTCCGACACGTTACAATAACATACCAGAGGCAACAATGTCAGAATGCACTGACAGCACAAAACCTATCTGTGTGTCTGTGAAGATGGAACCAGTAATGAACTAGCGAAGAGTGATATAATGGACTGCCACTGATTATAAATACTTGTAGATCAATTAATTATTTGTAAATATGTGTAATTTGTATCTAGTACATTCATTTATTAATCTGAACACTTTGTCTAGTGACTTTCACATGAAAGTATTTTAATTTACTTGCATAACTTGTTCCTCAAGTATACATGCCCCTGCTTTTAAAGAAGTAATTCCAGAGAAGAATAGCTGCTGTAGTTTTTATCGCGATAAAAGTTTGACCAGCACATAATTTTCACTAAAACTTCATTAAACTTAAATCCATTGAAGCAGCATAGTGTGAAGAACTTCAGTCATATTCCACAAAATTGTGTGTTGGGCAGTGTTTATGAAAGGGAATATTCATCTCATTATTCATCAACAAATCTCATGGAGTCCATAGGAGTAAATATCTATATATTGTTGCCTCATCACCTTTATCTTTAATTGCATTTTTCACAATAATTATGCATCAGTCACAATTTTATCAAAGGGAATTTTTTTCCCATTGTTTATCAAGGAATCACTTCATCAGATCTGTAGGTGTTACCATATTTCCACATTGCATTCAACTTTAATCACATTTCTGCAAAAATTATTTAGTAATCAGAATTTTATCAAGAGGAATATTTATCACTGTGTTCATCAGGGAGCCACATTAAGGAGTCCATAGACCCACATATCTATGCCATTTTGCCACATCACATCTATCTGTAATCCCTGTAATCCAAGGACTAAAATTATGCTCTGAAAAGTAATATTAATATATTTTATGAAACACACCTTTCACACATGATTTTTTGATGTAAAAGTGTGCATAAATTACCCAAGTAAATGTGGTAATTCTCAATTCTCAAAGAAATGTTTCTTTACTTACGTACTCATTGAGCTAAGCCCTTCTTGAGGAGCTGCCAATTCTGCAGCTACTCAAGAATTTCCCAGCATTTTATGGAACCCGAAGGTTCATTACCATGTTCTCAAGAGCCATCCACTGGTCCCTATCCTGAGACAGATCAGTCCAATCCATACCAGCCCATCCTATCTCTTTAAGATCCATTTTAATATTGTCCACCCACCTATGCCTTGGTCTTCCCAGTGGTCTCTTTGCTTCTGGCTTTTCCATCACTATCCTCTATGCATTCCTCTTCTCCCCCATTTGTGCTACATGCCCTACCCACCTCATCCTCCTTGACTTGATTATTCTAATTATACAGGGGATGGACAAAAATATGGAAACACCTTGTGAAATGCATGCCTCAATTGAAGTGTTTATTTTAGCGACGTTTGTAGGTGACGCTGTCACATCTGCCCAATACCACTACCTGCACAACCTCCGCAATAAGTTGCAAGCTTCATTTATTGTCGAGACAGTGCTCTGTGCAGTTTTTAGTGCATCATGTCAGAGTTAACAGAATTCGAACACAGGCAAATTGTTGGGGCCTGTATGGCGGGTGCTTCTGTAACCAAGGTACCTGAGGTTTTTGGTGTTTCGCGAGGCACAATATCCAAGATTATGACCACATACAGGAGGACTGGAAAAACCACAACTGTTAAACACCAGCGTGGACAGAAATGTGTGTTAAGTGATCGAGATAGACGAATATTGCATAGGATTGTGACGAAAAATAAGAAGACTACAGCTGCAAAAGTGACTGCTGAACTGAATGGCATGCTCACAAACCCTGTCAGCACCAAAACAATATGAAGGGACCTCCACAAGCAGGGTATTTATGGACGACCTGCAATTCCAAAGCCACTCATCAGTGATCAAAATGCCACCAAGAGGAGAGTGTAGTGCCGAAGTCATAAAACCTGGACTATGGAGCAATGGAAGATGGTCATTTGGTCAGATGAGTCCACCTTCATGCTGTTTCCGACTTCTGGCAGAGTTTACATATGGAGAACGCCATCCCAAGCTTACGATCCAGATTGTTTGCTGCCAAGAGTGAAATGTGGAAGGGTGTCAATCATGATATGAACAGCCATATCATGGTATTCTGTCGAACCCATCGTTACCCTTCAAGGTCATGTCACTGCCAACGACAGTGTGACCATTTTGGGCGACCAGGTCCATCCCATGTTGCAAACTTTGTTCCCCAGTGCTGATGCCATTTACCGAGATGACAATGCCCATGTTTAACACAGCTCACATCATCCAGGACTAGTTTTCTGAGCACGAAGATGAAATGTCATGACTGCCATGGCCCCCACAATCGCCAGATATCAATATTATTGAGCCTTTGTGGTCTGTTTTGGAGAGAAATCTGCGTGTGCACTATCCAGCTCCATCATCATTAACAGAACTTGCCAATGTTTTGCAGGAAGAATGGTACAAGATTCCCTTGCAAATCATACAGGACCTCTATCTCTCCTTTCCAAGGAGACTGCAAGCCAGAGATTTTGCTACACCATATTAGTCACGGTAATGTGTTTTTTGTTGCGTGTTTCCATATTTTTGTACTTGGAGAAGAGTACAAGTTATGAAGCTCCTCATTATGCAGTTTTCTCTAACCTCCTGTCACTTCATCCCTCTTTGGTCCAAATATTCTCCTCAACACCCTGTTCTCAAACACCCTCAGTCTATGTTCCTCCCTTAATGTCAGACCAAGTTTTACACTCATATAGAACCAGAGGCAAAATTATAGTTTTGTATATTGTAATTTATATTTTTTTGGACAGCAGATGAGAAGACAGAAGGTTCTGGACTGAATGGTAGCAAGCATTACCTGATTTCAATCGCCTCTTAATTCCCTTCTGAATCAGGTTTTCATCTATTATTGTTGTTCCCAAATATCTGAACTGTGCCACATTTTCAAAACATCTGTTTCCTGCCTTTATGTCATGAATTTGCCCTGCATTTTGGTGATGAGGCGGCAACGTATACCTCCTTCCAGGTATGGAGGGAAGTTGTGAATATATTGAATAAGCATTCGTGGACAGCCGACAAGGGGTGGTCCTCCAGCTTGGGTGTTGGTTGTGTGGCTAACAACTCCTCACTGTCAAAAGTAATCTTGTTACAGAAGTGCACACAAAACCTTGGACTGGGACAGATCCTCTTAATAAATGATCTAGGCTAAAGAAAATTTACATGAGATTCAATACTTGGAAAGTTAGAAGTATGTACATAGGTCGTACCGAAAGTCATGAGCAGCTTTTTTCTGCATGCAACCTGGGAACAGCAGACGATAGAGAGTATAGTGGTGGGTGGAACCAGCTGTTTTGTTCACCTTGAGTGTCTTGTGACATCAATAGCTTGCATCACATTACCAGTATCACGCCTAACAAAATGGCCAACGATATGTCGTTTAGCCAGCGTGCTGTCATCGAATTTCTTGTGAAAGAGGAAATCCCTGCTGCAGAAATTCACCACAGACTTCAGCGTGCTTATGGAAGTGTGCGCATGGGTGTGAGCAGTGTTCGAAGATGGGTGAAACATTTTAAAGATGGGAACACCAGCATCAAAGATGAGCCTCGGAGCGGTCGTCCTCGAACAGCCTCAACTGAACGCAACAAGGAAAGAGTGGATGACATCATTCAAGATGACAGGCATGTGACTGTGGACACAACAGCCTGAAAACTTGGAATATGGCACAGTGCAGTACAGGAGATGATTGAAAGCTTGGGCTATAGGAAAGTTTGTGCTTGTTGGGTCCCGCGGTTATTGACCGAAGACCACAAAGGTCAGCGAAAAGCCATCACTTCGGAACTGCTGCAGAGATATCGACACGAAAGCGATTATTTTTTGCTCTGTATTGTGACAGGTGACAAAAGCTGGTTTCACCATTTCGAGCCTGAAACAAAACAGCAGAGTATGGAATGGCACCATTTGCATTCTCCATCATAAAAGAAGGCAAACACAGTGCCATCAGCTGTGAAGGTGATGGGCACAGTCTTCTGGGATGCAGAGGGGTTTATTCTGGACAAATTCCTGGAACCTGGGCAAACCATCAGTGCTGCTCATTATGTCCAGAAGCTGCAGAAGCTCCAACGTGCATTGCACGATAAACGTCCAGGACGAAACATCATCATCCTGCATGACAATGCTTGCCCCAATGCCGCTTGCCTCACATTGGAAGCAATTGCAAAGATAGGGTGGGAAGTTCTTCCACACCACTCCTATAGCCCTGATCTGGCACCCTCTGACTACCATCTTTTCAGATTTGTGAAGGATCAGCTGTGTGAACGTTTTAAGACAAGGGAGGCAATTCAGAAAGCAGTGCGTCAGTGTCTTCGGATGGCTGGAATGGAATTTTACAGAAGGGTAATTTTCAAACTCCCAGAACGCGGGGAGAAATGTATACAAAGAAGTGGTGATTATGCGGAAAAATGAAGAAAGGTCTGTATCTTGAGGTGGTGTATTTGTTTTGTCAATAATAAAGCATGATACTTTATAAAAATTTGTTTCTCATGACTTTCAGTACATCCCTCGTATTAAGGTATGCTAATATTTGTATATACATTTTTGTACATTACATTATTTTGAGACTTCTGTATTCCAGAGAAGCACCTTCATTTGTAGTAAGTTTGGATTATATTAGCTTCTGCTGTTTATATCTCTTCAGATATTCCACGTGTCATTACTTCAATAACTCCTATACTATCCTGTGGTATATATTTTGTGTTTCTGTAGACCAAGAAGCGCTATGTTGGATATATGTATGAAAGCCCAGATCAAGAGAAGCCAGTCTATGATGCAAAAGGAATCGAAACTGTTCGTCGAGATGGATGCCCTGCTGTAGCTAAGGTGATATTTAGTTATGTATTAAATCTTGTTTCACCCACTCAGTACCTCTAGTTATAATCTGTAATATTTATCAAGTTAACCTTTAAGAGATGGGACATTTAAATTCCGGTAGTGGTATCAGGACGGAGTTAATTTAAATGCCCGCGATTGTAGAGTAATAAAAATTGTAATCACGTTACTCAAAATGCTGTGATTTCTACAATTTTTGTGATAAACAAACGAAATAAAAGCTGTTTTTATCTAGAAAGAATATAGAATCAGATATTTTAATTTACAGATTTTAGAATCTGTAAAAATTTTTGCACTCATTCCAAAAAAAAAATTCCCAATTTTGAATGTCTGTCCACAAATATGCAGAAAGTTTCTTCACAAAACGTTTCTGCAGTATAAATGCATGCTGCAAGACATCCTCTCTTCCTGTCTTATCTTTCTAAAGGGGAGGAAGCTAATGTTTGTCCTGCACATTCTCCAGTCACGTCGTATCCTTTCTACTATTGCATGAGTGGGGGCAAGTCTTATCGTACTTTGTACTTCAGAAACACTGCATGTTTATATCTCGGGCTAGCCACACAGAGCGGCCTCTCAATCTCATCTTCTTCCATGCAAAATGGAGCTATGTTGGATAGTTCAAATTGCGCTGTTTTATAAGCGTTATGATTCTGTTTACATCTCGGACTAAACACACAGAGCTACCCCCGCAATGCCTTTCACTCTCGTCTGTAATGCATTCTGAATCGGTGTAATTTATGAGCGGCATCTCAATATTGGCTTATTGCATGCGAAATGGGGCCATGGTAGATAGTTGAGATTGCATTGTTTTATAAGTGATGCGATTAGAATTGTCCTTCAGAAACCCTGACTGTGCATATATCGAACTAACCACAAAGAGGTACTGTTCTCACATAGCCCCTCACTACCAGAATGTTCTATCCTAGCGTGTTGTGTTGTGAATAAAACATCACAATTGAAACTAGCCAGCATGGCCTCATATCACTTGGCAGAAGACGAAATTGAGAAGCAGCTGATAATTGACACCGATTCAGACTGTGGTACAGAATATTCTGATAGTGGCGAGGAAATAGCGGGCTCAGAACCCGAAGTCGACGAAGATCCATCATCTTCATCAGCAACCTGGGGACCACCACACCAGCGTGGCAAGAGGAGTGTGAATAATTATTCAAGTGGAGCTGTGGGGTTAAATACCAATGAAGCTCCACACGTGAATAAGGATTCCAGCCCTTTCTGCGTTTTCATGCTATATTTCGCTGGGATTATCCGTCTGCTGGTGGAAGAGACGAACAGGTACTACCATCNCGAAGATCCATCATCTTCATCAGCAACCTGGGGACCACCACACCAGCGTGGCAAGAGGAGTGTGAATAATTATTCAAGTGGAGCTGTGGGGTTAAATACCAATGAAGCTCCACACGTGAATAAGGATTCCAGCCCTTTCTGCGTTTTCATGCTATATTTCGCTGGGATTATCCGTCTGCTGGTGGAAGAGACGAACAGGTACTACCATCAGCACGTAGACAGACGTCAAGACAGACCTTCTCCGTGGCCTAACGTGACCGAATCTGAGATGTTTCTGTTTCTAGGAATAATCATTCAAATGGGACGTGATAATAGAGGCAGACTAAAAGGACTACTGGTCGACTCTAGAACAATTTGCCACACCTTTCTACTCTAAGACAATGAAACGCGGCCGTTTTCTACACATTCTTCGTTTTCTTCATTTTGCAGACAACAGTACGGAAATTGACAGGAATGCCGACAGTTATGACCGACTATGGAAAATTCGGACCATCTTCGACACTCTCAATGATGCATTTGAAAAATATTATAACCCTTCTGAACATTTGGCCATTGACAAAATAATTGTAAAATACAAAGGGTGGGTGGTTTTTAGGCAGTACATTCCTAAGAAACACAAACGTTTCGGAATCGAAATCTTCAAAATTTGTGACACTGCTGGGTATACTTATGACATGAAAGTTTACCTAGGAAAAGACAGGACACGTGCCAGCCAAGACGTGACAGCGATACATGCTACAGTTAGGGACCTATGCAGATGTATTGAGGGCGTAGGTCACAAACTGTACACGAACAATTTCTTTTCTTCACCCTACTTGTTTGACGAACTGATGACAAAGAACATAACGTGCTGTGGGACAGTCAGACCTAATTGGAAGGGCTTGCCTGACGATTTTCAGCGAAGACAATTTCGACTGAAGAAAGGGGACATTCGTGTTAGGGTGAGACAGAACTTGACAGCACTAGTTTGGAAGGACAAACGTGACGTTTACATGCTGACAAATATTCACTCTTCTCCAGCAGAAGGCAGTTTCTGTGATGAGCACAGAAATGCCATCAAGCCAGCAATTGTTGCTAACTACAACAAGCACATGGGTTATGTCGACAAAGCGGACATAATGGCAAACAGTTATAGCATCTGTCGTCGAACCTGGAAATGGACAAATAAATTATTTTTCCATCTCCTGGATCTGACGATTCTGAACAGTTATATCCTGTTGTCATCCTGTGGCGCAAAATTGTTACACAGATAATTTTGTCTCGACCTTGTGCGGAACATGCTGGAGCATGCTGGAAGGGACCCCCCTCGCCGTCAACGGCCCAGGGGTCGAACCCCTGCCGTTTCATCAGGGTCATTTTGAATAGAGGAGGCCAAACAACAGCACTGGCAGACTTCCTCTTCTTCAAAATTGAGGCGTCAAGTGTGCTCTTCATGTGGGAAACGAAGAACCGTCCGGATAAAGTGCGTGAAGTGTGATGTGGGACTCTGCATTTCCGGATGTTTCCAAGATTTCCACACGAAGCCAACATTCCATTAGACGATGCATGTGGGAAGAGAGACAATTTATAAAGCTGGTGACCAAAAATCATGTAAGTAGAAAAAGAATTTATAACTTAAAATTAGATTTTAAAAAGCCGGCTGCACGCGTGGACTGCGCGACGACATATGGCGTCATTTGCCCCCTTGACTTTATTTTAATGATGCCATATGGCGTCGCTCGGCTCTTTAAGGTTAAAGTAATTACTTGTTTTAAAATAATGAAATTTTATGTGTCATTTTTCAGATACTGGAGAAATCTTTGAGACTTGTTTTTGAGACCAAGGATGTGAGTCTAGTCAAGAGTTATGTTTGTCAGCAGTTTACCAAATTATTGCAAGGACGCATCAACATGCAAGATCTGATTTTTGCTCGAGAGTATCGTGGTATGTCAGGTTATAGACCTGGTGCTTGTGTACCTGCTTTAGAGCTGGCAAGGTAAATTATTGCTGTATTAACTATTTATTTCCATGCTGCAAACCCAGCTTCCTTTGGATAGGATTCAGAACTAGTTCCTTCACTATCCACATTCACATATCTCCCTGAAATTCATTTTAATGTTGTCTTCCCAGTTCTGTCATTCACGTTGTTACCAAGATGTTCCTGTCAATTTTGTACATAATTTGTGTTACTGTCATATACCATGCTGTGAGATAACCTTGGAGATGATCACTGTAGCATGTGTAATGTTTTGAGATTCTTGAATAGTAAAGGGTTTTTGGGGTTGGTGTCCGGTATTTTATGCCATATTAAAGCTTTAGTCTTTTGCATCTCTGCTGACTTTAATTTTTTGTTATATTAGGTCCTCATTGACAGGGTCTTGTACAACCTGACATTATTATCACTATATAATGACAGTTTTGACCAAAATTTTACAACCGTTGCAGTTGTTTCCAGATATTTGCCTGAATCACTTTGTTATCAGGCTTGTATTTATGTTCTTCCCACAATGTAGAACATTACATTTCACAGCTGTAAAGAGGTTAATTACGTTTATATTCTTTGATTCTCATGAAATTGTCTGGTCAAAGAACAACAGTGCACACTTAAATTCCACTTCATAAGCAACAGTACCCACACAAGGGTTTAATTAAGTTCAATATAAGATAAATGTCATTACAGTATTGTGTAATACATGGGTTGCCTCCATTTCATCATGGATGGTTTCCATTTGATGTAACAAAGTTTAAACTTAAAAAAATAAAGAAAAGAGTTGTTTAACTAACACAATAGCTGAGAATACAGAATGTGAAAATACATTCCATGTCAGCACTCTTACTACTTGGAATGATCTGTACCTTAAAGCTGAAATTATTTTTCTTCGAAGTTAGTCAAGTTGAGTGACTAAGGCATATCATTTGTTCGCTACCATACACATGTTAGCTGATGTTCTGTATAGAGTCTCACTTTCTCATGCCAAAACATAATAGTTATTCGTTTCAGTAGCCATCTTATGACCTCTGAACATCTGCTGTGTAAATGCTTTTGTTTTAGTTTAAAAATAAAGTTATGGTTAAGACTGCAATGTTGCACAGTATGACAACATGTAAAGTTGTCCCTGTACCTAATTAAGCACTAGGCCATGACGACATATGGGGGAGTGGAAGTATAGCTCCACCAAGCTTGACCTCAGCGCTACACAGTGTGGCCAGGTTCTGTAAGAACTGTGTTCATTAAAAATACAAGACGTGAATTATTTTCAAAATTCCACTCAATATTTTATTCCAAATAATCTCCTTCTAAATCAGTACATAGCTTGAATCGATTGAAAAGTTTTTGAAAACAGTCACAGTACTCCTTTTGTGGAATTGCATTTAAAACTGTGGTAGATTCCCTTTCGATGTCCTAGATGGTGTCGTGATGGTCTCCTTAACTTTTGGGAACAACCAGAAATCTGCTGGAGCCGAATCTGGCGAATACGGAGGATGATCAAGGACTGTGATCCCTTTTCTGGGCAAAAAATTGCGCACGATCTTTGATTCGTGGGGTGGAGCATTGTCGTGGAGGAGCGAGAAGGAAACTTGCTCTTGATATTCAGGTCGATTTCGAAGAATTCTCGCCCACAAACGATTGAGGACTCTGAGATAATAATCAGAATTCACTGGTTGACCTTCTGTCAGAAATTCCTTATGAATAATTCCTTTGGAATAGAAGAAAACGGTTAGCAGTGTCTTTATTCGACTTTTGCATGTGAACTTTCTTTGGTTTCGGCTTCTTTGGGCTCAACCATGCTGCACTCTGCCGCTTTGTGAGAGGCTCATATTGAGAACACCATGTCTCGTCACCAGTAACAATCGATTTTGTAAATTGTCTATCACTTTTGGCCAACTGTAACATGTCTTTGCAGCGTTCCACTCTGGCATGTTTTTCATCGCCTGACAGCACATGCGGTACAAACCACACACTGACCTTCCATTTGCCCAAATCCTCGGTCCAAATTTGATGCACAGTAGTTTTTGGTATTCCCAAAAGCTCCTCGATGAGTCTTGCAGAAACACATTTGTCTGATGCAAGGACTTCAGTCACTTTTTTCACATTTTCTTCAGTGCGACTTGTTCTCAGCTTTGATGCACGTGGAGTGTCTTCAGTGTCCTCCCTGCCATCACAAAATACAGCATACCATCGAAAAATGTTCGAGCAACTCAAACAATCACTACCCTACACACTTTTCATCATTTTGTACGCTTCTCCAGCTGTTTTGCCTAATTTCAAACAAAATTTGATGTTTGCACTCCGTTCAACCACCATTTTCCAACGAGCATCAGAACAGTACTGTTACATTCAAGGTCAGAACACATGATGCAGCGATGCTTGCACTTTGAAATTATAGACAGCCACAGCTGAAACTTGAAGAATCTTAATACCACAACTCATCAACAGATGGCATTGCAGGGCAAAATTTAAAAAAAAATGAGTCCTAACGGATCGTGGACACACAGCATATAGATGGAGGTGTCTGGTTAGCTTCATGCCCTGGCCAATTTACTCCCGCAGTACACCCCAGATAGGAGGCTGGAGGGGCCCCAAAGCTGGTCTGGATGCTGTGGAGGAAAGAAATATTTTCCCCTGGCAGGAATTGAATACCTGCCATCCAGCCCTTTGCTGTACCAACTGAGCTATAGTCTGGCAAATTATTACCAGAGTTTTGGAGAAAACCAGTCCCTCCGTCTTTTGTGTAGGAGAAGATTGAGGCAGTAGTTTCTTCCAGAATGTTGGTAGTCATCTACAAGGCTACACAGTGCTGCATCCCAGAAGACCACAGTCTTAATACAGTATGCATCAAAATGTGGAGTACAGAAACTCGCCCATCTCAGACGTGCATGAGCATTTGTTGACATGGCATAGATCCAGCCGCACGCATTCCCAATAGTGAAAAGGAAGTTGTGTTGTGCAGTTGTTGGAAATGGGTCTCTCGACGGAGGAAAAAGTATTCATAGTTCAGTATTATTTCTGCTAATACTGAAGTAGTCACCAGACAACTTGCTTCCTTGGTTTTGAGAGGCCAGATGTTATTGTCCAGCAACCGCTACATAGTACATGTGTGACGAAATGGTGTGCTGTCTCAGCACACGGTATATTATACCCCTGTTTCATTGAGGAAGAGGAAGGCAATGCTCTCACCATGACCCAAGAACACTACAGGGACATGGTGATCGGACCATTTCTTCAGGAATTGAGAAGGTTCTGTCGTGCAAGAGGTCTTCACATGAATAGACAGTGGTATCAACAGGACGTCTTTTCATTTCAGTACTGTCTTTTTTGGCGCATACTGTACTTCCCTGAGAACCTCAAATATTATAAAGTTGTGACTGATTTAAGGTGAGGTGATTTAAAAGTTGTTAGGTCAGATATTTTTCATACTGTACAAAAATGTCACAATATGCTGTGAGCAACTATTAGAAAAACTGGCACAAATGAATGTATTAAGATATCAGGTGACAAATTTGGCAGTGCACAGTTAAGCACACATCCTGCATTGTGTATGGCAGCAAATGTAATATATTGCTCACTCATCCAGATGCTAACTCTGAAATTTTATCTGTGTGATTTTTTTAATTGTTGTGACTTTATGGGTGATTTGTAACATCAGTATTGACATTAGCATCATTAGATAAATTTACAGGTATAAGTTTTTTTTATTTTTTGTATCTGTTATATTTCTGACCTCTGGATGCCTGAAAAGTGTAAAGGGACTGCCAGAATTCTTTTTATATTGAAGATAAATGGATAAAGTACAGAATTGTTTAAAGTAGAATTATATGATGGCCTGGGTAATGAGAGAGGCAAGGAATGCATACAGAATTTTGATGGCAAAAACTATCTTGAAAAAGTGTCAGAAAGACATGGAATGATAAGAGTAAGATGTGAGGTTTGAGGTTCTGATGGCAGGGACTGTGAAGATTACATGTTCTGGAATGTTACATTGTGTACTTTAGTGGATAGATACCAGTGGTTTTGGAAGCTCCTGATTATAGAGGCAACACATTTTTCGAAAACATCAGTACCTATCTACCAGACTACATGGGGTCATCGCTCAGAAGATAGTTGTGTGGGAGATTAAGATAGATTTTAAGAAGTTAGTTATGAGGGTGGAACTGATTCAGGATTTAATTCAGTGATACAATTTTGTAAGAGTGCTGATTATTAGTTGTGCTTATGATTATATCCTGAAGACATTGTATGGCCTTGGAGACATGTTGAGTAGATCCCACATCTGATTTATATGTGTTAGTGAAGAGAAGAATCCTGCTGTGCCTGCATATAATTATAATATAGCCATCCAGGGCACAGCACATTACTCGCTGACTAAGCTATTATATTTCTATTATAAATAAAATAAGTTCTATTTTGCATTATCAAATGTAACAAAATAATATGATTCTTCCTTATGATTTCAGGCGCTGGTTACAAACTGATAGGCGTGCTGAGCCACGGCAACGTGAAAGAGTACCATATGTCATTGTGAATGGGCCACCAGGGTTACCACTGATTCGCCTGGTTAGGTCACCACTTGACTTACTAGCTGATCCAAGTCTGCGACCCAATGCTACGTACTATATCACAAGGGTTATTATTCCACCACTTGACAGGTGTTTTTCACTTCTTGGGGCTGAAGTGGAGTCATGGTAGTAACATTGAACAGTTCGTTACAAATTTAGAAGATATATTGATGTTGCATATTCTGTTTATTTTTGTAATTCATACCATTGTAGTCTTCTGAATTTAAGGTTCAATTTCAATTTTCCGAAGTCCAGAATACTTGTATCCACTTCTACACATTCACTACCAGTTTCTCAATGGTCAATCTAATGCCCAGTCCAGGGTTTTTAAATGTCAAGGTCCTTTTAATGTATCATTGACCAGCAAAATCTGGAAACACTTCACTTGCAAACCATGACAGTCAGGAATTTGTTTCCATGCATTGCTGTCTGGCTTAAATAGTAGATCTTAATCTGCATATGGGTACATTTCTCTGACCACTTGTCAGACGTGGGAGCAAATAAGGTAAGAGGAGAGGAATTTCTTGAGTACATCTGTGATTGTTCATTCCTCAAAGGGGGCTCTGATTCACAGATTTGGTTCATCTTGAGGCTGAGTTATCTGCTTTTGAAGTTTTCCTCGATTTAACATAAAAAGAAGGTAAATTTCTTTGTGTGCTTAATTAGTTAACCACCACACCAAAAAGGCATATGGGGAAATGAAATTTTTGACCTAGGCACTTGATGGAGGTGAGTGGTCAGCTTTTTGCCTCAAACATTTTATACCCAAGGAATTAGCCCCTGTTACCCATTTGATAGGTGGCTGGTTGAGTCACAGTGCCATGTACATGCTGTGGAGAGGAGAAAAATCTTCTGCCCCTGCAAGGAATCCAACCCAATTTGTCCAGTCTATAGCCCATGACTCTCAACTCTACTATCCCAATTCCCTGTTTTCCTCAATTTGCTGTTGAAATCCATAGTGTCCCAAGTCATGATATCCATTGGTATTTCCACCAGGGTGTATTATCTTACAACAAACCCTCATATCTTCCCAGCTCTCTGAAAGAGAGGCCGTTTATGGCCATCCATTGTTCCCCACTCTCTTTTCTATCTCCCAGGACTTATATATTATTGAGAATAATTCAGTTTACAGTTTTGGCAGAGACAATTTAGCCATTTTCAGGATTTATGACAGGCCTTTGCAAGTGCTGGTATCAGCATTCCCACTATATTTCATGCTGTCACTCTTTTACCTCACTTTCTCCAACCCCCATGACAAGATTTCAGGGCTGATTTTTGATAAAAATGGTCATTTTTTTTATTAAGTTACAACCTACTTGTGTTTATTTTTAAGTCTTATGTTTTAACCATCACATTATTTCTGACTATATTCCACATGTTTCAACCATAAATAGGTACCATCAAGTGAAATACATAAATAATCCAGAAGTAGCTAAGTTGTAATTACATTTTTTTTAAAAAAGAACATATAAATATGTGGAGAAAATAATGCATAATGTCAGATGTGGCTTAATTTTATATGGACGCAACTGTAAAATTGACAGTATTTCTTTGTTAATATCATTGTTTAACTTAACCCTCCCTTATATGTGGGGAAGTCACAAAATTTTAATTATCACCCAGAGAAAACAGAGACACAGGTAGAAGAAACTGTATGTGAGTTAGTCCTTCTCTACTTATGCCCCCTGCAAGGCGACACATTTTCCCCAACGATGCATTACCTGCTGGATACTTTGATCATAGAAGGTCTCATTTTGACTTTTTAGGAAGTCCTCCACTGCAGAAATTATGTCTCTGTCTTTGAATCGCTAACCACGAAGTGGCAGAAGTCACTCGGTGCCATGTCTAGCGGATGAGGTAGAATTTCATATCCCAAACTGGCAGCAAATGTTGTCATAGCATGAGCCAGTGCATTGTTGTGAAGAAGTCACACACCTTTTCCCAGCATTCCACATCACTTTTTCTTGTTTTCCTCCCTTAATTTTCTCAGAAGATTCTGGTAGTACTCGCCAGCGAAACTGACGCCCTTTTCTCGTAGTCGGTCATGATGACACCCTGCCGATCCCAAAACATGCTGAACGTCACCTTTCCTGACGATGGCTGGGATTTGGCCTTCTTTCGTGGTGGCGAGTTTGCATGTATCCACTGCTTGCTCATTTGCTTTGTTTCACGGTCATAATGATACACCCAACATTCATCCATCATGATGAGGCAGTCAAAAAATTCCACCTTTTTGTCTTGACACATCTGCAAAAGTTTCTTTGCCACATCCATCCATTGCTGTTTTTCAACTGGTATCAACAATCGTGGCACCCAATGCGCAGCGACCTTTGTCATGTGTAACTCGTCTTGGATGATGCTGAAAACCGACCCATGGCTAGTGCAGACCTCATGTTCAATAGCTTTGATATTTATCCACCTATTGCATAGGATCAGAGCTTTCCACATGTGCCACAATTCCCGTTTCCATGGCGAGAGATGGTTTTCCACTTCGGGGTTCATTTTTGAGGTTTGTTTGTCCACAATGAAAGCACCTCTTCTGCCTGATCACCGTGTCATATGATGGTACACCTTCCTGATACACAGTGGTCATCTGGTCATTGATCTCCCTTGCAAATGCATGGGCACAAGCCTCCACTTTCTCATCCGACGTCACCATTTTGCTTCTGCCCCTTCCGATGGCTCCCTCTGTCCACTTGACATGGGAAAATTTTACTCTTCAGCAAGCTCAGGAAATGGGCTATCTCCTATATTGAACAATATTTTGGAATTATGATTTTCTCATGGTGGTAATTTAAACATGACTTTCCATCGTATTTTTTCAAATCAACCCCAGCTACTTACCAAACAAAGGAGCACAGGAATACTATCTGTATATTATAGCAGACTAGCATACAGCATACGGTTATAGTTCACCATGGGTTGATTGGTAGAAACTGCACATGGAAGATAAAAATTTGTAAGACAGGAATGTGAGGTTCCCAATTAGATAATAAATTTGAACTACATAAAACTTCATAAATGACTAATAACTCAGAGACAGACAGGTATGCTCAGTGTTATTGTTTCACTAAGAGTGATGTGATCAAATTCATTATTTTCTCCACACATTTAAAAATGTAATGTTTTAACAAAATGTTTGCTTTTGGCTTATTTGTATATGTCATATGGGTGATTACCATTTACGGTCAAAACATATCATATGTAGATTCTAAAGGGTTCTGACAATGGTGGATGACACACACAATTACTGGGGTTTTGTACTTTTTCCGTCCTTAGAAAGAGCTATCTCAATCACTTTCTAACGGGCTCAAATGAGTAGGTGTCTTCCTTTCTCACCTGAAGACGAAAACATCCAGTTTCTGAAAAGTGTCCTCTATTACCTAGAATTCCGGACGATGGAAAAAGTTAAAGAACCCAGTAATTCTGTATATCATGTGTAGTTAGAAATAAGAAACAGAGTTTTTTTAACATAAATTTTACTTCTTCCATATCCTGTCCAAATCGTTATTCCCATATCATTCTAAAATGTTTATGCTGCCTGCTACATTAGGTTTTAATAGATTCAGAAGATTCATATTAAGTTCTGTAACTATGAGAACCGGCATAAATCAGTAGCAAATTGGAACATTAATTCTCCTCAGAGTAAATTTTTCATGATTATGATAGATACATGCAAATCTCAAATTTTTTAGATCAGGTTCAGAAAAAATTTCTTGCTCTTAGCATGAACACTGATTTATTATTCTTGAATGCTGAAAATGTTATGATGACTGCTTTCTCTTTGCACATCAGAAGATACTGGTATCATAGTTCCTGAAATGAGAGAATTTTTTCCACATTTTAAGGGTTACAACACTATGAGGTGTGATCATGAATTTGAATGCTTTTATGCATTAGATGTCATTAATTCATTTTAAGCATTTAGCTTGTTCATAGCACAGTTTTCATTATTGTGCCATCTGAGTAGCAATTGAGAAAAATTGTTTTGGTATGCTACCAACCGCTACATCATTGCCCAAAGTACAAAGTTACAAAAGAATCTCTAATTCACTGGTTTACATCACAAGACTCTGTGCCAGCACAATTGCTGCTGGACATGAAAATGGCATATCATACCAAGAAAAAGTAGTGCTGGTGTGTTGCAGTTCTCAGGCATCATGGTTATGATTCATTCTTTAAGATATAATAAATAACAACAGCAGAAAACAGAACTTTCAGCACTTGTCGAACAAACAAACAAACAAACAAGTGTAAATGGCAAGGAAATACCATTTCCCTATGTCAGACATCTGATGTTGGAAACAACAGAAACCAGAACTTTCAGCACATGTGTGTGAAAATTGTCTATTGTACAGATATAAGACAATGAAATGTCAGTTTTTGCAACATCGTCTAACCTATAACATAGATTGTCGAGAGCCTCCTGCAGCCAGAATTCAAATGGCCCTAAGTACTTAAAGTTGCAGACTTTGAGAAAAACTACATATTTTCTGTTCTATGCAATATAGAAATATGGACTAAAAACAGCCTGAAAAATAGTTACATGTTCGACATATACACAAAGAGCAATTTTTACAAATGAAAATATACTGTGATTATTTTATTATAAAATGCAAAATATCATCTTTATTATATATATTATGAAATTCCAAAGGGCTTACTTCAGACATGTTGATTTTGTAAAAAGATAATCACTATATACAATAATCCTTTGTTCAAACTGTACACGAGTATGAACCACGTCACTTCACAGTTTATGATAACTCCATTCAGTGCTCACACCCTGACGTGGTTGTGCCACTGGTCGAAGCAGGCCTGAACACACAGACCAACCACATTTTTTGTAATAGAAGAGGGTGTTCCTGGTTTTCTTATTTAGACACGGCGTCTTTTTTCTTTTTGGATGGCCAGTGTTGCGAATTTTTCACCTCTTGTCGAATCACTTGGGCCCCACATGAACTTGGCCACCCCCGAGAAACGCCACTGACCGTGGTATTCACCTCATATGACTGTACAATCAAATCTCACACTATGAATTTGTGGAATTTTTTATGTGTCATTTTCCACCACACAACTTGTGCAATAGATAGGCATTAAGAATAGTCATGCCTAGAAGGTGGCAAAACAGTTTCTTTACCGATTTCCGTGTCCTCCAAGCAATTGCATAACCATTCACCATCCTGTGTGATTTATCCACAAAGCCTATATGTTGTCTCTCTACTGAGAGAAAACAAAAATTTTTTATAAATAAAACTTGACAATTTGACACTGACTTTCTGACTGATAATTCGCCACTGAAAACCAATCCTTGAAAATGACCCACTTCCTTGCAAGTCCAAGAAGCACTAATCTGCATGGTCAGATGAATATTTACTTCTTAGTTCTCAGAAGAAAGCTGTGCTCTATTTGGCTGGCCCCATCATGAACATTCATATTTAAACGTAAATACTATCCAAACCAATTCCATGATAAATGATTTCATTATTGCTCAGAGCTAACAAATGAACCACTGACTTGACCTTGCATGGGTTTGTTGTTGTTTCAACCTGAAGATCAAACTGTCAGCACTCCCAAAGAGAGCACATGTACTGCATTTGATAAATCTAACATTCAGCCACAGTGGAATGTTACTTGCTGTTAGATACATCTAACATTCGTATATTAAAAGTTAATGAGAGATTGAGATTTCAAGTCCACCTCTGAGTGTAGTGTACAAACGAGGAACAGGTCTTCTGTAGAGCAAAGTTCACTTTGCAGGAAGTTACTATCACTGTTGAATTAGTGGCGATGAAATTCGGGTGTATTCTATATGCCATTCAGTTACACCATCGTTGATGTAGGTGCAAAATCTGTAGTTCTGAAAACATCATCTGGTAGTGTTATGTCCTGTTTGTGTGACACTTACAAGTGAAAGTGGAAGGGTTATGTCACAGACGTTCTTATTATTTCACTCACAACATATTTTGGCCCAGATAGTCATCATTAGGTGATTTATGAGGAACATACAAATGAATATAAAAACTACCAACCTACATTGACTAACAAATTTATACTAGCATTGTAGTTTTTATATGTATTCCTAAAAATCATCCATTGATAACCTTTTGGGCCAAAATATATTGTCAGTGTAATAATAAAAAAATCTATTTGTATGATGGTAACCTCTCCATTTTTATTCAAAAAACATCAGGCACTGAAAAGACATGAGTTCTATAGTGCTGACTGAATTGGAAAGTTCAGCCTATGGAGCTGATAGTCATGTGTCAAACTAATGGATGGTAAACTAAGTTAACTCACGAGGAACAGGAGACCTGGAGTGTTGTTGAGAAAACAAGGAATGCTTCTAAATGGAATTGAAAGTAATTTCGCATTAGACATCAGATCTGTGCTTCATGCAATGAATACTAAGTCTTCTGGTCATGCCTGAAGGGATGACATAACTGTACTTTCTAATGAAGAAGTCTTTTAAGGATCTTTCAAAGCAAAGAGGCCCAGTGTGGAACTGCTGTGCCAGTGGATCAAGGCCACAGAAGTGATAATTGATTTAGAAAGTGCTGTGTATCTGATGAAATTGTTAGAAGGGAGAATGTGGAAGAGATTGGGAATCTTGGCAGTAAACATCAGAATCTGAGACAAAATGGAAATTGTGAAGGCACTCAAACTGAGACGGATGGTTAACAGATTTAGACTATTGAAGCTGAATAAAGGCTGGTAACTTGGAAACTAACTCAGTAAATCTCATGTGTAATATGCTTTTTGATATTTATATTCTTTCACACATTTGTAGTAAGTGAAAGAAATTAATTTATAAAATTACATTTTCTGCTCAGACATGATTTGTATTGCAGAATAATTTTGCATTTTGATCTATTATACGATTTTGAGTCTCAAAAATTTTCCAGGTTCTGCTCTCAAACTCATCTCAGACTGAAGTCATTCTTATACATGCCAAGATTATGTTAGTATAATCAGATTCTTCACAGACAGGAGAAACCATGGTTCCTAATTTTGTTCCCTCTGTGCTTAATATACCCAATCACATAGTGCATATTTCGATTATTAATTCCTGCATTATTTTAATTTAAAAATCTAACTTAATTTATGTATTTAGGTATGCTGATATGCCACGGAAATGTGTAACAAACCTGCCTACAGCTCCGCCCTCTGGACTCAAGAAGTGCACTATTTCACAGTATTTCATCACAATGAATTGCACAGTATGTAACCAACCAACAGATTCTGGCATCTGCCTGAACTGTCAGCAACAGACTCAGCATGTGGCTGTTGTCTTGGCAAACAAGATCCGAATATGGGAGAGGACATACACCAACATTACAAAGGTATGTTCAGCAGATTTGTATGAAGTGTATGTATGATACAGTAAAAGTCCAATATGGATACATCTGTGACAAAGTTCTTTTCGCATTTATTTTTTATGCACTTTAAATTTAATTATATAAGGCATGGCAGTACTCTCCAGTTTTAACAGGAGTAGTTTCTCAGAATTTCAAGTCAAATGAGTATTTTTCTTTCATCTGTGAATGAGTGCATTTTCAAACATACATTTAGCAATGTTGGTGCACTGTGCAATGCATCAGGTGCAGCCATGCCATTCACCATCCAGTAGGACCAGTCTTTCCTCTATCAGCATCTAGTTATTCCATGTGAAAAGAGAAACAGTACTTAATGATATGCATACCATTTCATGTAGGAATTGTAGTAATGAGTCAACATAAGTAGCATCTAGTGACATGCACTGTCAAATGTTGAGTACTCGTAAAGCAGAATGTAACTGTCAATTCTCTTTATATAGTATATGAAGCCAGAGAAGAAGTAGTCAGTAATGATGGCTTGTGTAATGCATGCTCTTCTGTTGGCTATAAACTTTCTGACATTTATAAAGCAATGCCGATTTTCGCTCTTCCCAATAACTAGTGGCTGGAATTTATTGGTCCCATCAGCATTGCAGGCTAACAGAATCATTATCAGTAGATGAGTGTTTACACCATCCAAATGAAACATTTTTTTCTTTCCTTCTGTCCTTTGTATATTCTTCTGCAACATGTTTCAACCTCACACAGCCAACTTCAGTGATAGTTACTCTTACTAAAATTGTTGCACTGTCACTTCAGTCTACTTGCACGTGGAATGAATTGTTACTTTCAATAAAAATCCTCTAAAACCCATAAAAATGCTGATACCTCCTGATTTTCAGCAGTGCACATTGCAAACTGTATGTGATATCTGTAATATATGATAATTGTATTGTGTTAATATATTTGGCAGGAATGTGTTCTGTGCAAGGCATTAATGTTCTCTTGTGTTATATATCTTTCATGTACTTACATTTTTTCTGTGGTGCAGATAGCAGGGCATGTAGGATAGATGGAAAGAATAAAAATGTTGCATCTGGATGGTGTGAACACTTATGCACTGAAAATTAATAGTAATGCAAAAGAATGCTGAAGTTCCCTGACTAGGTCAAAAACGAAATATTGACTTAACTTACTCAATTTTAGCTGCTGTCTCCTTCAGAATAGCCTCCTTTGGAACATATACAGCAATCCCATCATTTTTTCCATGCTTCAAAAGCTCCATGGATGTAATTTTCCCTAATGCAGTCAAGTACCACATGGATTTCCCTTTGGATATCAGGCATTGTTTCAAAACGTTTTTCCTTTAGTTACATTTTCAATTTGGGAAACAAAGCAAAATCACATGGGGGCTGAGTGCGGCGAATAGGGAGGATGGGGAATGATAACCATGTTGTTGTTAGTCACAAGCTCTGTGGTTTTCAGGGACGTGTTGGTGGGCACATTGTCTTGATAAAGGAACCAGTTGTGACTGCGCCAAAATTCCAGTCTTTTTCATCGCACATTTTCTCTCAAGAGTCTCAACACATAACGGTGAAAGTTAAAAGTCAGAATATTATATTTCAGCATCCTGTTACACTCACACAATATATATGGATAAATACCGTCTTAAGTGCAACAAATTTTATTGTAGTTTTTACTTCTTTTCCTCCTCCACACTACATGTTTCGGCCCTAAATGGCCATCATCAGGTGTGTATCACTCACGTAGCTGTTACACTGCTTGTTAAAATTAAAAATTACCAGTCTTTCTAATTGTATAAAATCTTTGTTAATCTACACGTGTCGATTTGATTTTTAAATTAGCACTTTTTAAAACTTAATTCAAGTTAAAATGTC